AGCGACATGGGGGAGGGCGGGGGACAGACCGGCGGGGGTGCCGAGGAGCCGTCCCCAGCACTGGGATGACACCTGCCACCCCCCCACCCATGGGTGCGGCGGCGGTTACAAGGGACTCACCAATGCGGATGGGGACAGGGGCGCTGCGGGCACCCACACCGGCACCGGTGGCAGCGGCAACTTCGGCGCGGTAAGGGACGCCGGGGACCAGTCCCCGCAGTACCGTCGCCAGCACCGTCCCCTCCACACTCTGGTTGATGTGGAAGCGGCTTTCGTTGCCCAAGCACCAGATCTGGACACGATGGGGACACCCATGGAGACACCATGACCCGGGGTCGTGGGGGACAGAGGGGACCTGCCGCATCCCCGCCGATGCCTGCCCTTACCCGGTAATCGCGGATGACACCATTCTGCTCAGCCGGTGGCGGCGGCTGCCACGAGATGCGGACGCTGGTGCCGTTACCGGCCACGCTGACGGCTCGTGGTGGGGCGCTGGGGGCTACCGGGGACACACACATGGGGTGTCACCTCCAGAGGGTCCCCAGGGACCCCCACCATCCCCCGAACCCCGCGCTCACCCGCCTCAGGAGTGCGCAGGGCTCGCACGGCGCTGTCGGGGCCGTGGAGGTGATGGAAGTAGGGTCGGACCTTGACCTCGTAGTCCTGGCCCCGGCGCAGCTCGGTGAGCAGGGCCCCCCGCTCCCCCGGCGCCTGCACCGCCCGCGCCTCCTCCCAGCGTCCGCCGCGCCGCCGGTACAGCACCCGGTAGCCCTGAAGGAAGGGTGCTTGGCGCTCCACCTGGGGACCCAAGGGGAAGGTGGGATGGGGAGGGGGATGCTCGGCACCGGGGGCCCTGTACCGGTGGCGCAGCACGGTACTCACGGTCCAGGAGAGGCGGACGGCGCCTGGCGGCAGCACCACGGGCTCCTGCAGGTGCACGGCCACTTGCGCCAGCTCCCGCTGCACCTGCTCGGGGTCCAGCCCTTGCTGCGTGGGGCTGGCGTCTGCCGAAAACATGAGAGGGTGGTGGGTCCATGGGCACCTCCATCAGCATTGTTGGGGGTGGGGATACACCCAAGGGTGGTGGGTCCATGGGCACCTCCATCAGCATTGTTGGGTGGGGATGCACCCAAGGGTGGTGGGTCCATGGGCACTTCCACTGGCATCACCAAGCAGGGATGGACCCAAGGGTGGTAGGTGCATGGGCACTTCCATTGACATCATTGGGCAGGGATGCACGCAATGGTTTTGGGTGCGTGGGCACCTCCATCAGCATCACCAAGCAGGGATGCGCCCAAGGATGGTTGGTGCATGGACACCTCCACTGGTGCCACCAAGTGGAGAAGCACCCAAGGGTGGTGGGTGCATGGGCACCTTCATTGGTGTCACTAAGTGGAGAAGCACCCAAGGGTGGTGGGTGCATGGGCACCTCCATCAACATCACCAAGCAGGGATGCACCCAAAGATGGTTGGTGCATGGACACCTCCACTGGTGCCACCAAGTGGAGAAGCCCCCAAGGGTGGTGGGTCCATGGGCATTGGTGCCACCAAGTGGAGAAGCACCCAAGGGTGGTGGGTCCATGGGCATTGGTGTCACCAAGTGGAGATGCACCCAAGGGTGGTGGGTGCATAGACGCCTCCACTGGTGCCACCAAGTGGAGAAGCCCCCAAGGGTGGTGGGTCCATGGGCATTGGTGTCACCAAGTAGAGATGCACCCAAGGGTGGTGGGTGCATGGACACCTCCACCAGCATCACCGCCGGGTCTCACCTTGGGTGCGCACGGGCTCCGAGACGCCACTGGGGTCGCTGAGCCCGTAGGCGTTGACCGCCCGCACCAAGAAGAGGTAGACGGTGTCGGGCACGAGGCCGCTCACCGTGTGGGTCTCACCCTCCACGTCGGCCGCCACCGTCTGCCACGGGCCACCTGCCGCCTGGCTGCCGGGGGACAGGGGTGATCCGTGGCGGGGTGGCACCGGGCCACCGCGTCACCTCCGCAGCTGGAGAGGACACTTGTGTGATACCTGAAAGCCTCCACGATGTAGGAGGTGACATCGGTGGCACCGCTGTCCTCGTTCCCTTTCCAGCTGAGGGTGACGCTGCTTTTGGTGACGTTGGTGACCACGGGGGTGGGGGGTGGCCTGGGGATGACGCCGGGTTCGGGGGACGATGGGGAGAGGCTGGATCCATCGTCTGTGGGGAGATGCATGGAGATGCGGGGTGGCTTCGTCCCCAGTGCCATGGTGTCCCCTGTGCGGTGACGTCCCCGTGCCCCACCTTGCACCTCCAGGGAGCCACCCCAGCGTGTCTCACCCGCCGAGCTGGTGGCCACACACTCGTAGTGCCCGGAGTCCGTCACCTGCGAGGGGAAGAGCTCCTGCCCCATCACCCTGAGCACCCGTCACCTCGGCACCCACCACCCTCAGCACCCATCACTCGTTGCACTCACCACCCTGAGCACCCATTGCCCTTTGCACCCACCACCCTTTACACGCACCACCTCTTGCACCCACCACCCATTGCACCCTCAACCATGAGCACCCAACAACCCTTGAATCCACCACCCTGAGCAGCCAGCACCCATTGCGCCCCCAACCCTGAGCACCCACCACCCCTTGTGAGCACCCACCACCTCTTTCACCCACCACCCATTGCATCCTCAACCATGAGCACCCACCACCCATTGCACGCACCACCCATTGCACCCTCAACCATGAGCACCCACCACCCATTGCACCCACCACCCATTGCGTCCT